CCTTTCCTTCCTCTTTCCTCTTTCCTCTTTTTCCTCCCCCCTCAAAATCTCTCCCTCTCCAAGTTTGGTTTTTTTTTTTCTTTTCTTCTTCTTTTTCTTTTCTTTTTTTTTAAAACACCCCCTCCTCCCCCCTCGCCCCAAGATGTTTCCCTTCTTCTTATCTTCTTATCTTTCCGCTTGAGAGGTGAGAGGTGAGAGGTGAGAGGTGAGATAAGGGATGAGAGGTGAGAGGTGAGCAAAAAGGCCTATCAACGGTAACGAATGTGTGAAAGAGGAGAGAACGTGTCGTGGTGGTGGTGGTAGTTGGTCGTGAGCTAGTTCTTAATATGAGATTGTTTTTGTAGTGCGTGGTGCGTGGTGCGTAGTTTGTGGTTTGTGGGGCGTTGGAGGGGGGAGAGGGGGGAGTGGTGGATGATAGATGATGAATGGATGGATGGATGGTATGGTATTATATGCATAAGGAGTTGGATGCGGGAATCGATGGGGTTGATTGAGCTTTTGTTTAGGGGTTGGGGGGGGGGGGTTAAGTAGATAAGTGGATGGATGGATGGATGGATGGGATATGTAAGGACTATGATGAGGGCGAGGGATGCTTGGTTGGTTGCTTGGTTGGTTAGAGTGGGCTGTGAGATAAGAGAGATGGAAGAAGAGACAGGTAGAGAGAGAGAAAAAGAGAGCTCTGAAAGACAAGAGCTCCGAGAGCAAGAGCGGGCTAGTTGGTTTTACAAGGGAGGGCGCTGAGTATCATGTATGTATGTATGTATGTATGAATTTTCTCTCTCTCTCTCTCCCTCCTTTCTTTTTTCTTTCCTCTTTCTGTTTGTTTGTTCTCCAGGCTTGTTCTCCAGGCTTTTTCTTTCAGGCCTTTTTTTTTTTTTCTTATTAACTTGTTTATTCTGACTTGTTTCTTCTCCTTCTGTGATGAAGCAGAGGCAGATAGATGGAAGAGAGAGAGAGAGTTGAGAGAGAGGGCTGAAAGACAAGATAAGAGCTCCGAGAGAGATGGAGATGGAGATTGAGCTAAAAGAGCTCAAAGAGCTAAAAGAGCTAAATGAGCTAAAAGAGCTAAAAGAGCTGAGAGAGCTGAGAGAGCTAAAAGAGCTAAAAGAGCTAAAAGAGCTAAAAGAGCTAAAAGAGACGGCCCACAGATAGAGAAACGAATAAACAAATCAACCGAGAAATAGACTAGAGAAAAAGGCGAACGGGAAAGGAAACAAGGGCGAGCGGCTTGGCGTTGGGTGTTTGGTTGGTTGGTTAGTTTGTGTTTGGCTTGTTTGGCTTGTTCGCCTGGTACTGATTGGTAGATGGTAAGTAGTGAGTGAGTAGTGGCTAGGAGAGGGACTGGCTCTGGATACAGGCAGGTGAGGGAGAGAAGGCGGGAAGTGAAAAGAGAGAGAAGAGAGAGAGGATAGAGAAAAGAGAGAGAGAGAGAGAGAGAGAGAGAGAGAGAAGATAGGGTTGTAGCTCTTTATTTCTGGAGATTTCCATTTCTTACACAAACGCTACATCTTATCTATACCTATCCCTCCTATCGCTCCCAACGACCTATGCGATGTGATGTGATACGGGGCATCGAGGCAATGCAATGCTACAAGCTACAAGCTACAGTATTCTACATTTCGTGACCCGTCCGTTCTTCGCCTCGCCTCGCTTAGCCACAAATGCCAAAGACCCAAACCGTCAACATGTCATTGTCTACACAGTCACCCACTGCCACCACCCACCACCCACCACCTACTGCTTATTACTCGCCTGCCTCCTCGCCCTCCTGGCCGCCTCCCTCTGCCGCTCCATCAGCATCTCCTTCTCCCGCATCATCTGCTTCCGCACCTCCTCATACTTCCGAGTATCATCCCTCAGCTTCTTCGCCTTGCCCTTCTCCGTCATCTCGTCCGCCTTCTCCCGGCCTTGCTTCACCACCCCGCTAAAAGATTTGCTGACCTCGCTCACCACGTTACCCAGCACGCCCTTCTTCTTCTGCTGCTGGCCCACCGCCTCGAAGCGCCCGTCAATCTCCTTCGTGTCCAGAACACGCATCTTAGCTGTGGACGCGGAGCCCGGCTCCGAGGGGTCCTTTTTGACGGGGAATTGTGTCATATTGAAGTAGGAGCGAAACCAGGGGTTTCGAAAGGCGGCGCCTTGGAGGTAGGAGATGAAGCCCGTGACTAGGAAAGAGAGTTGAAGGCAGGCGGGGAGCCACCAGGTGGCTATTAGTGTCAGAGTGGGAAGACCCCACAACATGAACTTGGCCATTGCGGTATTTTGATTCAACTGGCCTATTTCGCCTCCTTTCTGGGGGGCTTGTCAGTCACTGTGCTTTCCTGGTCGCGCTGGATATAGAGGGAAGAGGGGGGGGGGGGAAGGGACGTACACGCAGCGACCAGTGCAGCACAACCGACCCAGCAATCGGCAGCAAGAACAACGGATCGGGCAGTGTCAGGTTTTGGAACCACAGCACGCCCCCCGTCTCCAGCCCCGGCACTGGCAATTTCGACATGGCCCTCATCAGCACAAAGGTCCCATATCCGGCAAAAACCTGCAGCATCGGCAAGAGACTCCTGTACATCTTGATGCCAGCCCGTCGGTTAATCATCCGAATTTCCGAGCGGATCTGCATCATCAAGTGCTTGTCTCCTGCGCGTGACGCTTCCGCCATTTTGACTGTGAGCGGCTTGGTGATGGGCGCCGTGTGCTGCAGCCGGGCTGCGTTGTCGGCGGAGTTGATCATGATCTTGAACAGGGCGGCGCGCACGAGGAAGCCGGTGATGGAGATGGAAACCCACCAGGGCGTGCCGGCGTAGACATGGACATGCTCGAGAAGGAACTGCATCATGGTCGTTGGACCGAAGCCATAGTCCAGACCGAGAGTGTTTAGGTATCCTATGGACTCGGGAATGTTGTGGATGGACCCGGAGGCAAAGTCTGTAGCGCTATCTAGGGAACTCGTGAGGTCGTGAGAGGACGGTGATGATGGGATTGCCTCCCCGACGAAATCAGAGGGCGTGGAAGAGGCACTCGAGGCGATGGTGACCGTGGGGGTGGTAGAGGAGGCAAAGCGTATTGCTGTGCCAGTTCGTATTAAAGTATTTGGTTGTGAGAATTGAGGAGATGCGTAAGATCCGGGGATGAATCTGCGATTCTTGTTCATGGAAAGCAGTCCATGGGCTCTAATGGTGCGATGTAGAGGTACAGGTGAAGAAGAGAACTGGATAATTGCCCTGATTAGCCAGAAACCCAGGGTATTGGAGAGAGCAATTGCGATTACTTGTCTGACAGGAACAGAAAGCGTCTCGAGTCGCCGTCGGCCTGTTCCAATTGTCTGAATAGACCAGCGGAGGCCTCTGCTGGGAATCATGGTAAGGTGTGAGGTGGGCGGGTGGACAGTGGTCGTGGTCGTGTTGGTGTTTGCGGTCTCTGCCCGGATGTGATGTCGCAAAAATTGGAGTGATCGATCGCGAATCGCGAATCCCTGGTCTCAGTAGCGCGTACGACGGCCGTGTCACTGGAACTGAACAGAACATGGGAAAAGAGGAATTTGAATCCGGTCTAAAATGGCTCTGAGCCTGGGCATGCTCATGCTGCAATTTTTTATATTCGGAATTCCATTCGACCGGACCCTACAAGTTTGGCTGCTGGATTTGGAGCATTTGTTGCAGACACATCCCAAGTCCATAGCTCGTATTGCCATCCATATCCCCCAAAACAAGTCCACAACTAGCCGGAGCTCCCATACTCGCTCTATTGAGCCTCTCTCATGATCATCTTGAATCCACAGACCGCTATTGTACAAGCCCAAACGCCTGGTATCTGCATGCAGTGGTGACATCCCCGTCTCTCCGCGCCCTCATTCCATACTTGTCAAATCATTCAAATCATTGCCCCTCCGTTTCCTCTCGACTGGGTCATCCCGAATCTCAATTCCAGGTCCTATAGAGTGTCGCGCTCGTCCACCCGGAAAGACCTAGAAGAAGACAGAAAGTTAGCTCGTTTGCAATGCCGAGAGGGCCGCCCTCCATCCCCAAGACAGAGCCCTGTCTACATTGGTGGAAGCTCTGCAGGATGCCAATTTTTTTCTCCATCCCAAATAGACTGTATGGGGTCTGCATACCTTGGTGCCTCCCCATCCCAGTCTGAACGCAGCTTCGTGTGCAAACAGCTCTCCAAACCCCAACATGAGTCCGTTGATGAAGGGGAGCAGCAGATTGATCGCAGCTCCTCTAACCAGACCCCACATCGTGGGGGGTGAATACAGGATCAGAGGAGGCGAGTCGGACGAGGAGGCTGGAGACGGAGAGAGATCATCGTTGCCAGAATATTGCTCGGAGTCGGAGGGGATGGTCATCGAGGACTCGGTCAGAGGGTTGGTTTCGGAAGACATGGCAGGATTTTGGTCGCCTCGTTGGGTCCAGGTCCAGGTCCAGGCCAGTCAGTGGTGGGAAATCAGATCAGTGGTGGGAAATTCGAGATTGTACTTTGTTTATTGTTGGTCGCCTTGTTAGGTGCGGGCAGGTTAGTGGTCGTTTGCTCTGCGGGTGAAGGTCGCGCGGTGACTGTTGAAGCTTTGGTACTGAAGTCCCGCCCTCGGAGCTAGTACGTAGAAGCTTTGGTGGGGTGCTTGCTGCCTCGTCCATCTTTCTCTTTGCTTCACATCACATCTCGATACCCAAACACACTTCAAGACCGCAACCGCAACCGCAACCGCAATTATGGCAGACCCGGAGCTGATGGAGGAGCGATTGACACACAGTGCAGCTATCACTCAGTTCATCCAGATTACCAACGCCCAAATCGACGCTGTAAGCTTCACCTATTCTCTCACACATACAAACACAAACACACACACACACACACACACACAAGTACCTACCTAGGCTAATATCTCCAGGCCGAGACATGCCTCCGAGCATATGGATGGGATCTCGATCAAGCAGTCACGGGATGGTTCGAGCAGAACGAGCCAGAGGCAGAGGCAGGCGAGGATACAGAGATGGCAGGAGCTGAACCCAAACAAGAAGAATACACCGGACCGCGAACTCTTGATGGCAGACCTGCACCGCAATCCATCCCTGCTGTCGGTTCATCCTCGAGCTCTGCTAAGCCAAAGAAGAAGGGAGGAATCGCTACGCTGGGCTCTTTAAGTTCTGGAAGTCACGGCCACGGCCACGATGATGACGATGACGAGGACGACGAGGACTTTGATCCTGACGGGGAGCCTAGAGATCTGTTTGCCGGTGGAGAGAAATCGGGACTGGCTGTTCAGGATCCCCCATCGAGAAGTAATGATCCAAGAAAGGTTGTGAGCGATATCCTTAAAAAGGCAAAAGCGTATGTACTCCTCTCGGCCCATCTTACCCAGCTAATACCCCCCCAGAAACGCGGCCAGACCAGGCGGTGGACCCTCATCATCAGCAGCAGCTCCATCCCGATTCCGTGGCAGCGGCATGACCCTCGGCGGTGAAGACACACCCTCTCAAGTCATCCCCGATCCTCATCCCCAAGCCCCCGAAGTAGGCGAAACCCAAACCCGCATTCTCCATCTCTGGACCGATGGTTTCAGCGTCGAGGACGGCCCTCTCCACCGTTTTGACGACCCCCAAAACGCCGCCGACCTCCAAATGATCCGCACCGGCCGAGCCCCCCTCCACCTAATGGGCGTGCGTCCCGATCAGCCCGTCGACGTCCAGCTCATCAAGCACAACGAAGCTTACAAGGCCCCTCCTAAGGTCTACAAGCCATTCAGTGGATCCGGTAACAGACTGGGCAGCCCGACCCCTGGTGCTTCTACGACCAGTACCGCGCCTGCTGCGGCTCCGACTGCTGCTAGCTCGAATGTTGGCCCTGTTGCACCAGCTATCGATGATTCCCAGCCGACCGTTACTCTCCGTATTCAGCTTGCAAGTGGTACCAGACTCACCGCTCGATTTAACACTACCAACACGATTGGCGATATCTATGATTTTGTCAATTCCGCTGCTCGCGAAAACAATGAGCGAGATTGGGTCTTGGCTACCACGTTCCCGAATAAGGATCATACGGACAAGTCGTTAGTCTTAGGCGAGATGGCTGAGTTCAAGCGAGGTGGCAATGCTGTTCAGAAGTGGACTTAGAGTTATCTCTGGTGGAACAAAGGTTTATGATGGAAGATGAGCCACATGAATGGATGATTTTGCATGATATGATTTGGTGCATAACCACCATGCGGGCGTTTGGTTCGGAAGAATGGGCTACGTTGCACATGTGCTGGATGCGGATGGTTCATATGGTTGGGCTAAACTCTAGATATATTAGAAGGCAATCACAACCATCAGAGAATCCTATTCGAAGTGACTTGTAAGGAAGCAAAACAATTAGGAAGTAGACCTTGCGTAGACATTCCAATTTTCATCCTAAAGCTCAGGGAAGCAATCGGTTCTGCTCGCCCGAGCAGTCAGTTGGAAATAAATAGGTCTTCATGAAATCCATCCATCGCGCTGCAGATAATCTTTGTAAAAAACCTCCGTTGAAAAATGAATTGGTTCCCTTCGGTTGAAGCCTCGCGGGTGGAACTTGCGCCGCCGGAAAGCCTTTATTCCATTTTATTCAACCTCACCGAGCCTCGAGTCGGCCGTTCACGCGTTCCCCAAGTGCTAGAGCAACGATCTTCACTACAAACTTCCACGACTCAAAACAGAGGTGCGATGGAACATGCGGAACTACCTATATTAACAACTTGAATCCTACGCTCAAGAAGATTTTCCTTTTCTCCACGTATGCATGAAGTGGAGATTGGAGCATTCAAACATAGACTATGCTTTGGGAGGGGTTTGAAAGCTGACCACAACTTCTGCCTACGGACCTCTTGGATGGTACCGGTACTGTAGGAGATGACGAACAAGGAGGGAATGGAGTGCGATAGTGAGCGTCGTGGATGGGTTGGTTGTTTATCATCAATCCTTGGATTAAGTAAGGGGTGGAGCTGTTGTGCGTGGTGGCTCACTGTACCGACAGCTGCCGATACGTAGGATGAATGGGTGTCAAGATGTGGAATCGTGAATTTCTCGGGGTTCGGGCCGGGGTTTATTGAGTACCTAGTGCGTTCATTGGCGATTTCATGTTGAGATTGTTGGGTGTTTCAGTCTGGGTTGTTTCTTGGGGGTAGGTATGTTTGATGGCTGGAGATTAAGGTTTGTTTTCGGTGGTACTTTATGTTTTTGATGGCGAGAGTTTGGTTTGATAGTGCTGCTTGGAGATGGAGCTGGGGAGTATTGGCAAACGAGGCCTAATGTGGAGTGCGGCTCTGGCCATTTTTTGTCTATTTTCTTTTTTTCTTCTCTTCAAAATCATGGTCGTTCGGGAGGAAGTTGGTGTATATGGGGCGAAGGTGCTTCATTCTTTCGCATGCCTCTGATCAGATCAGCGTCAGACCAACAGAACTGTGAACACTAGCCGTGTTTTTGGAGATGGACAAAGTTTTTCAAATACTTGGTCCGCCGGGCGGGAAGAGCTGTTGAGACGAAAAGGAACTCTCTTAATCAGATATTGAATAAGAGTGGTGAAACAAGTTCTTGATTTGTGATTATAGCTTTCAAGATATGACCTTCGCAAAACCTGTCAACTAGACTCCTGCTATTCAATAGAGTAGATGGATATGAGGTATATATAACCCTTTAGGATATTATCGATATCCGTAAAGAAGGGATCTCGTATCAAGCCATCAAGCTATACTCCACGGGGGGAGGGGTCTTTGTCTTTTGGCACCTTTCTGTAAGGCGGAAACAGCTTCGTGACTATTCTACCGGCTTGCTCTCCATTACGTAGAATCTATAGGCAGGCATGGTTATGATTTCTGCGACAAATTCTCGGCAAAGCATAACTATCAAATCTGGAACGACAGCGTCAGAATTCTTGACAGCAAAGAGTAATATCGGTAGCATAATGAATTTATTCTAATACATCTCAAACCACCTCCTGAATGCTTGCAACTCACTTGTCTGAACACTCGAGCCGAAAGCTGTCTTCGGTTTATTGGTCTGATACACGTAGAAGCGGGTAGAAGTCCTTGATACAACTATATGTAATGTAATATACCTCGTGGCGTCGTCCCTCTCGCTAATATGGAGGAAGAGTGATTCTGGGAATAAAGTGTATTTGTGCTAAATAATCAAATTTCACTTGTCCGCTTCGAATATCTAAACAACTATAACTTCAATTGAACAAAAGAATCAACCATAGCTCGACAGGAAATAATCGGCTTAGTTGCAGTGCAGAAGGAGATCATTATTAAATGAATATTGGTGTTGCAGAAATTGTACTTTAAAAGGAAATTCGGCTTTGGTGTTCCTCGCTTATTCTAGTATTTACACGGCAATTCTGACATATACGCATAGTAAAACAGTATCGAAATCAGTTATTACCCATCGTGTCTTCCTTCGCTCCTTGACTCTTCCTTGCTCCATCCTTGACTCATTGACTTGTAAAGCTCAAAATCGCTATTATTCAAAGCTGCTCTTATAAATCATCATCGCTTTAATCTATCCAGCACAAACAGAGAGGCTACGATTCTTTACCTATACGAGGTGCCTTCTACGACCCTTTAGCTCTCTCTTGCGGCAGAGAGTCTGAAAAGCCGCAATTTAATCATTAACATGCGACGACTTTTCAAAGAGATTTTCTTTTATCGGCGGTTCCGAGCCTTCCTTTTCCCTTTTCTCGAATACCACGCCGATTGATCTATACTTATCGGGCATATCGATTAAAAAGATTAAAAGGATCTGCGATGAAAATAAACCGGATTCAAGAGATAAGATAAGAAAAGCTTAGTTCGATTAATCGAAAATACGGTATTGCGCTTTCGAAAAAGCATTTCGCAAATATACCGGCTTTTATATAAAAGCTACGAACGCAAGCTTTTATGGCTTTACGATAACAAAAACGATATTTGTATTTAAACGGATCGAGGCTCGCCGTAAAGCCATACGTATTTAATAGTTGACGAAAGTAAGCTCGGCGTACATTATTATAAAATGCTTTTAGAAAGTATATTACTACTACTACTGCTACTATGACTACTACTACTATTGAGCTTAATAGCCCACGGACCTAATATGTTAAAAGTACACTGAAAGTACAGTTTTAATATTAATCCAACACAATATCAGATCAACTACATACAATTAGGACTATATTGATTGGTTAAAATTTAGAGTCAGTACGTGGCATCCTTTCATATCGAAATATATACGATATGATCGGTGGTTAATTTTTTATCAATTTTATAAGGGGAAAATTAGGTGTCGCTGGATGTCCCGTGGTGCCGACTTGAGAATTAAAATCAAAGTACTCGTGCGGCTAGACCGTCCGTACTCATGTGTTGATCCTTTTAAACTGGCGAAGGGGGTTGCAACGCTCTGTATGGTTGGCTCCGCCTAAATTTAGTAAATTCGACTTCGTACTACTTGTATTTGGGATGATCTTCCGGCATGGGTACAGACAGACTTTCTGGCCGCACGAGTAACCGACGATTAACAGTCAGTGCGCTGCCTATTTACTACCTGAGAGCTACTACAATCTTTTCGATCCGTCTCTTGGTATTTTACGCAGGATCCGACCTGTTTCTAGCGTATGCTTCGAGTCCTTCGTAGGCTAAAGCGTGCTATTCCTCCCCTCTGAATAAAGGGCAGCATCCCAAAGGTGGCACGGATAGGTAGATTTCTGCTGCGTTTTGGCTCGTGCCACCCTTGGGATCCTGCCTTTTATTTATGGCGGGGGGGAGTATTAAGAATTTAGGATGATCTTCGATATAAAAATAAAAAGACAAATATACTTACTAGTTGCTAGTATCTTCAAACTGAATATAATAAAGGATACAAAGAATTAATCAAAGAGAGATATATATTCTTTGTTGCACCTACTTCAAGGTGAATAAACAATCCCTTTTACTGTCTTCTTCTATTGCATGCTTTTTTCCTTTCGTCAACTCTCAAAAACCTATAAAACTATTTCGGATATTTTCAAATGCAATCATGCTGTTATCGACATCTTTTTGCGCGATATGGCTAGCTTTAAGCTTTCTCTCTAATAGAGCTCAAGCACAAAGAACGGTTATCGGCTTTCGAGTAGTTCCAGAAGTAAGTTTCATGTGATTTATATAATATAAGCTTAGACTGATTACGCGAATTGTAGCAAGAAGCCATGAGAATCAATCAGAATAATATGATACAAAGAGATGCCTTGATCGGACCGACTGAAAGAAGACTCACTCAATTAGGAATTGGCTTACGTTTAAGTAAATTAATCTATATTCATAAATCGTCAATTATTACTTCCAGCTAATAATCCAAATAGCAAGAGTCCCTGGTAACTGGGAGAATCTTCCAGAAATAAACAACTGGTTTTGTGTTGTCGAAGCGAATACTGATGGGATTAGAGAGGCGCGCAAAATATACATCCCAGAATATTACCATAAGGTATATTGGGGTACAATGCGTGTCCCCATACAACTATGGTTCGGAGACGAAGAGTATATTGTGGATTATATCTTCGAAGAAGATCCAACATTCCCCCAACCCGAGAGAGTGCTACGCTTCGCATGGATCGCAGATTTCGGTTTTGATTTACAGATGCTCATTCCAAGGGACATGGTAAATGACCCGGAGTTGGGTTTATGGTCTAGATGCTATGATTCACTGCAAGCGCTGGAAGCATATGCGGCTGAAACATATGATTGGGAGGAGTGGGATATTGAAGGAGAAATTGACTACCCGAGCGTTGAAACTTGGGGGGCAAATGATGCTTGAAAAATGCTTTGGCTTTGTAGTATTACTATTCTTTCTTATATAGTGGCATGTGCGGATCTCTTCTATAATCCGAAGTGGGCGCTAGCGATATAAATGATAGGATTTTACAGGAATACCACAAGATGATTTGAAAGATTATTCGTGAATGCTGAACTGCGTTGTGGTTTTTAGCTTCTTGCAACTGATCATGCTGCATGCAGTCAATATAGTAAAGCATTCATTCATGAGAATTGTATGTCAAATTTTTTCTCTCTCAAAACTTGAGACATAGTTCTAAGAAACACCTTGATCAATATCTCGGCTGCGCTAGTAGGCTTCTGACCGTCATAATTCACGTTTCACATTAGCCAGTGTACCATACGTAGCTTAGCAGGTTGAAAATGGCAACAGGACTTGAGTACTTCAATAGCCGACGGTAATTTAAAGTTGAGAGAAGTGACAGAAAGACCGAGAGTGACAACGAAGAATGCTATCAAGATACTAGATTACTTGGCGTGTAAAAGGAGTAAGCCATTTCCCGCTTTCAAGTCCTTGCATCAGTGATACGAAATCCATCTCAGGGCTTACCTTGTGAATCGCTCCTTGTCTGACTGTATTCTTTACCTTGCGGAGGCTATCGCATTGTCCTGACGAGGACAAATATTGTGTATGAGGTATATTTATAACTTTCTGGATCGAAAAAATAGTAAGAAGCCGTTGGAATACGAGCAATTGATAACGGGGCGGATTCTCTATTCAATTTTAGTATGATTATCGATTACATGTATGCGAAATCCAGGCAGTATTCAAGTAAATTCTAGTAGAGGGACTAAGGTATACGTAGCTTAAGTGAAGCCTGGCAACTTTCCTATATGTTTTCGGCAGAATAGACTCTCTTTGCCAATCCGAGGAATTAGACGGTGGTATCTAGACTTTCAAGTTTAGCTATTTATGCTTCAGTTCATTATCAGTCTGGGGATTTATTGGGCCTCTATTCTCTTTGAAGTCATAACGGCACTCAGTAACAAAAGACCCTGAGGGCATTTTTGATATTTGAAATCGTGATCAGACCATTTCCAGAACCTAGGTCCGAATTTGAAGAATGAAAAAAAAAAACAGCTCCCCATCTTAGGTATCTGGTGGATTGTGGTCTGCAGACGGTATCCATAGGCCTAGATTGATTGCGAATAATGATCGACGGACCTTTGCGAAATCAGCAGTAAATGTTCTCACGCCTTGAGATTTGTTGACTTTCGCTTACATAAACTAAGGGCTTGGCGCGATCCCATACGTTGCTGTAGCTTAAAGCGGGTTGTATAATTGAATGTTTAAATGATTTGAACATGGATCCATCCCATGGAATTGGAACACCACTGACAGGTACAAGCAATGAATCTGAGCGTCAAAGCAGGCGATATACGAAGCTGGGCTAGGACAAAACAAGTGGAGCGAAGATGCCTAGGGTTTACAGCTCTTGAAATCCAGAATTCAGTCCCTGCGGTAGAAGCCTCGCCCCTGCCCTGACAAGCATACAGTATCCAGGCCTGAGGGGTGTCACGATCAAAGAATCCAAGCTCACGGGAAGCAAACCCAGGATATCAAACCAGGTTTGCAAAACCGCCAGAAAAGTAAACAATAGAAGGGGGTCCAAGATCCTCGGCTAGCGCCCAATTGAGAAAGGCATAAGCTTTTCAAAGCGACAACCCGAAGCAAGTTTACGAAGACCAGAGGGGAAGCATGCGTACGCTGAGACGGGAAGATCTACGTAGATCTAGGGCTACTCTGCTTGTGTTTCTCATGGCTATATGGTGCTTTTATGTGGAGCCAATGTCGAGGTGCTTGATTGGACTTACTTGAACCAGATTCGCCTGTGCTGCAAAGGACTTGCGCTCGAGTCAAGTCGTTCTGTCCGAATGCTTGGTTTGAGTAAAGTTATATGAAAAATGATAATTCCTCAATGGTGATATGGATTTGTGCAAGTGCTTCGCGCTGCACGGGGGAGCTTGATAGATCTGGTCGACAGACCCCAAAATTCTGAAAAATATTGATCTCGTGTGGCTATCTCGCTCTATCATGACCCATCTAGATTGCAATACAGACATTTGAGAAAGAAATCAGAGCTTGACTCTGCGGGAAGTCGGAAATGATCTCTGCAACGACGGGCAATCGCTTGGTGCAACGATCGGCAAGAAGAAAACGAAGTCCGCCGTGGGACTTCACATTCAAAATTTCAGGCTCTGGACTCGCGCTCTATTACTTCCACTGAGCTCAAACATACACTTTGTCGGACCACTGCGACCATTGTGGGCCGGGGACGTGATGGCACGTGAGGGTGGCACGTGCACCAGTGGTTCCTGCCCCCTTAGGGGACAGCCCACAACTGTAGCAATAGAAACAACCATCATCAATACAACACAACAACAACGCATAGACTAGTCTATCAACAACTCCCTGTGATATAACAACACACTTCCTACATGTAAAGATATCACATTCAGCGCGGCCTTCAAAATTGTCACTGCAGCCTGTTCATGACCAAACGACTGGTTGGTTTTCCCATCATCTAATGCTCTCCTCCTAAAACAACTCTATTCCAGGTCATTGTCACCCGTCAATCAAATTCCGTTTTGTACGAATTTCTACGATCCTGTCAGCTGAAGCCAGTCTTCAGGCCCAACAGCACCGCAGCCGGCAAAAGTTTCTCTAGAGATTTTAACGTACCACAGACCTCTCGAAATCGAGATAGATGCACGGGCACATGCCTTTCTTGAGATTGAAGCAAGCACACACCTCCCTGTCGGCAAGAGGGAAGAATGAGCGCCAAAGCATGCGGCCCACGGCACCTGTTCTCAGATTCTTCGCACGAATCACTCGGGGAGATTCCGGGAGTCCTTCTAGATACTCGACGTGATCTCCTACCTCTACTTTGCAGTGGAATTCGCCAATGGTCGATATCAAATGCTTGACAACGAGAATCGCGCCTGGAAGCTGCCCGGCCAAGGTGGAAGGATCTGATACTTCGGGGGAATCTCGAGGTTTAGTGGACTCAATCGGTTGAGCTGTGAATTCGGTTTCCGGTTTTAACTGCGTTTTTGGGCCGTCAACATGTGTGATCAGAACTTAAATCTTAGATCAGAACTTACAGAATGGCTTGCCGGATACGCAAGCTCACAGCGACAGTTGCCTTCCCTGCAGGAGCATTTTCCTTTCGGCGACAGCGGAAAGAATATTTCCCAGCGAACCGAGACTTTTCGGCCACTGCGCAGGATCTCAACATGACAGCCGGTATCAAAATTCGAGCAGACCCTGACCAACTCTCCAACTTCTGGGCCATCAGGGTTGAACTTTGCTGCTGTACGTTTGACGGCCAGAACAGCGCCAACTCTCTGCCCTGCTATCGAATTGATATCAGCAACCGCCTCCACCTCTAGGCTTCTCTCACACGGAATAAGCCCACTACGGTCGTTGTGGGTGTTGGCGGGCCGCTGTCGCTGAAGGCAGAGAAGGAGCTGGATTCCATGCTGGCCTTGCCCTGAGGTGTTTCTTGGGGTTTGTGAGCAAAAGAAGAAATAATGTGATCGAGAAGTCGGCGGGAGCAAATTCCGACTAAGGATTTTCAAGCGTTTGTTCTCAGGAAACGGGCGGCTTGCTGCATCTGCCGGTCTATCTATTTCTTAGATCTCATCTGAGGCGTGTCTCGGCTGCCGGCGTTGGCCATCCAGTCCAAAGAGAGACGAGTTTCTCAGAGCCCACCCTTTCTTTTGATCGGGCTTGCAAGTGCATGGCTTAGATTTTGGAGTATCCCTCTTCAATTCTCTCCCTGGCTAGACTTTCCGTCATTTTTCTTGGCCCATTCTCAGTCATCGCTGGATTTATGCTCTTTCCAGCCCTGGCCACAAGACATGGCTTCGCGCGTTTGCACAGTCTGAGTGTTGCTCAGATTGACCTATAAATCTACGATATAAATAAGTGGATGGCTTGCTAGCCGGACAACATATATCCTTCGGCTTCTCAATTTTACTTTACGAATCTGATTTGACCTGCGAAGCTCCACAAGCCCGGCTGGCATCATCGCAGCGTCGATATTTTCTCACACTTAGGAGTTATGGCTATCATCGGGATCTTGGAAACAAGCACACTAGTAACTCCTAAGTGTCGATCATGTATACGGTACACCCGCAAGAGCCATGCGGGAAACCCGCTGAAAACACACCGTGTTTGGCTCATGCCTTTTTCCGCTGTAAGAAGTCCATCGCAACCTGGGAAGTTAGCTCCCACTGTGTCGATAGTGCTTTGAGATGAAGGTCTTTCGCTTTCTAGTAATACCTCTCACACGTTCTTAGAACTCGATCTTGATTGACTCACATCACTGGCAAGAGGATCCTCTGTCTTGAAGGCTCTTGTCAGGGCCCTATGAGCAGTAGAATGCCGACAGACTGTTCATGCTATTTGGGTTTCCAGAAGGATAACTTATGATCCAAATAAAGATATGATGTTAAGACAGGTCGCAAGATATCGCAAGATATTATTCTCTGCTTGCGAAGGGATGGTCAATGGTTTCAAGACAATAGCAGTGGTCGAATATTACAGATCGACGAGGTATTCATAAGCTTGACCGAGATCACATGATCAATATCGGCACAAGTTCGGACAAGGCTGACAAGATTTAGTTATTCACAGCAGTCCCATCCCCTCTCTCCCTTCCCTCTTTCTCGAACTTTCTAGGAGGAACTCACAATTATTCATTTGCACCGGCTCATGCCATGCTAGAATCACTCGACAGCATAGCTAGCGGAATCTCAACTTAGACAACAAACAAGACCTCAACTCGATTAGGTTACAGATTGATACAATCCAAGAAACATCATCACTTGAAATGTCGTCCGACGCCGCCAAAGGCCAGGAGGCTTTAAAAGTCTCCGACTATGCTGCAGCAATTAATCACCTTACGACCGCTCTCAAGACCTCGCAATCGCCTCTCTGGCTGATCCAGCGCTCGACCGCATACCAACGAACAAACCAGCACGAGCTCGCTCTCGCAGACGCGGACAACGCGCTCCTCGCCAGCATCAACCGTGGCAAGCGGGATCTGATCGCTACCTCGCACTTCCGACGAGCAGTTGCGCTCCATGGCATGGGGAGATTCGGCGATGCTAGACTTTGCCTCAACTGGTGCATGCAGAAGAACCCGAAGGAGAAGTGCCTGACGATGTGGATGGCGAAGGTCAAGGCGGACTACGAGAAGGCTGGAGGAGAAGAGGCCGAGTGCAACAAGAAGTCTGTGAAGGAGATCCCAGACAAGGTCGAGGAGGTCGTTAAGCCGAAAGAGGAGAAGAAGGCTGTGGAGAAGCATCAGGTTGCGGAAGTAAATAATGCTCCCTCGGGGATGGTCGCGCCTGTTGCGCCAGCAACTACGCCCAAGGAGAAGATCAGAACGGAATGGTACCAATCCACAACGACGGTCACAGTCGAGATATTCGCCAAGGGTGTCCCCAAGGAGAACGCCGAAGTGAAGATGGAGTCATTCACTGTTAGTTTATCCCTTCTTTCTACCCCGCTAACCACTGACAACCCCCAGCTCCATGTCAGCTTCCCAATCGGCAATGCCAGCTCGTTCGAGTACTCCATAGACCCTCTGTTCTCCGAAATAGCCGTGTCCAAGAGCACCTTCCGCATTACACCCCACAAGATTGAGATTGTTCTCCACAAGTCCTTCCCGGGCCTTAAATGGTCCTCCCTGGAAGACCCCGACCCCGATATCTCACTCACCAGACCCGACAAGCCAACCTCCAGCATCCCAGACGGGGTCCTGAGACCAAAGGAGACCGCACCGATCTACCCAACATCATCCAAAAATGGACCAGTAAACTGGGACAAGGTTGGCGCTGACGACGATCAGGAGGAGCACGATGTCAATGACTTCTTTAAAGTTCTCTACAGAGATGCTGACCCCGATACGCGGCGTGCGATGATGAAGAGCTATCAGGAGAGTAATGGTACCTCGTTGTCGACGGACTGGTCAGATGTCGGTAGCAAGACATTCAAGACGGAGCCACCTGAGGGTATGGAGCCCAAGAAGTGGGACTCTTAATTAAGTTGGCGGGCTTCCGGGGGTGGTTTATGCAGTCTTTTCAGCATCGGTGTTTTGCTTGGGCTAGTTTTGGTGGCATTGGAATGGCGTCCGGTGGAAACTGACATGGTCACTGTATCTGGCGTCTGGAAGGGAAATGGGCCTCTAATCTCGATTCTCTCCTCAGCGAATGTATTTTCGCATCTTGAGGCTTCTCTAATCCCGTCATCCTTTGTCTTTCCCATGCTCTTCAGACATTGTGCGAGATACCCGCGCGGAATAAAGTGGTTGTAAATGATCTATCTATCCATGGTTCTTGACCCCATCTAGTCATCATGTCTTCAGGTAGGGTATAGTATCACTTTGGATTGACCAGTACTCTTCCCATTTTCCTCGTATGCCTTCCTTTTTTTTTCACCCTTCGATCCCTCGATCCCACCTAAAATTCTCCTCCATGAATACAGAGAGAGATATAGACAAAATGGGGCGGGTGGCTTGAACCTGGTCACCGTTCTACTATTTGCCATTTGCCATTTGCCATTTGCCATTTGCCATTTGATTTTCGCTGCTAAATTCTCTGCCACTATCCCATCATGTGCCTTTTCTTTTCCCGAGGGGGGGAAGCGGGGGGTCGTTTTTGTAATCGGAATCGGAAACGAATGGCGGGTGGTTTTTTCGTGGCCTGCTTGCTTCTGGTGTCTCTCCCTCCCTCTCTGATTACTGATTAGAGCTCGCCCTGAGCTCTGAGCCGTCAAATTCCTTTTTTTTTTTTTCTTGGCATTGGAAGTATGTTCGCAGATCCGCTCATTGGGTCGCCGTGTCCTATTTCCAAGTCATCATCAGATTGCCGGAGCTGGCTGGCTACTCGAACCCGACGATATCCCGCTACCTATCCATGGATATTCATCGCTCGATCTCGAGATGTGTACTCCTAGTACGAAAGGTCTTCCCAGCTCCTCCTGATATAGATATCAGCCATATCATTAGTGTCGACTCTGCGATATCTGGAGACCTGGGATCTTCTCGGCTGCTGGCTTGGGAGTCTTCGTGGCCTTTGTGGTTTTCTCTCTGGTCTCTGCTGCAGACGCATAGGTTGTTAGCATGTAAGAACTGCAGATGGTGTAGTGTGGCATGGGTGCGTAGAACTAGAATGCGTGCTTAAACCTCTGGAGCAGAGCCCTTCCCTCCCGGGGATGTAGTTCCTTCTTGGGCTTCTGCGCGGCGACCTCAGCATCTCCCGCCTTGATGTCGGTCGGCATGATCTGTTCTTATACCAGTGTCTCCAGCACTGCCCCCTCCGACATCCATGTCATCCTTCGACTTGTTGCTCTTGAGCGGACGTATCAGCAGCAGCTTGTATGTCGCCGGTCTGCTGGTCTTCAGACTCGGTCTCCTGAAACGTAGCGGGTGTAAAGCCAGGCTTGATGGTCTTGGACGTTCGATACAAGATGTCGTTTCCGTCATCCGGGATCAACTTTAGCGAATCTGTGCGTGCCTCGTGGAGGGCAGCTGCGCTAGGTGTGGGAAAGATGTAGTATCGTACCTGATTCTGAGCTGGAAGTTACTGATGCTGCCTGTTGTACTTCGTAAACATCAGCTTCTCTACTACCAGCGCAAAGCCTACGACTGTGATTATCAAGCCTTTCTGCTAATATTCAAGTCTCACAAAATCCTTGACCGTCTTTGACCATCTCCATTGACAAATTTAGCCGAGAAGACTTCCAAGTTGTGCCACCCAGTATCGACCATGTAAACCTGGACAGTATAGGTTCATTGACCAGCTATGTAAACAGACAGTCCAGGAGGCAGCGAGTGTATTTTCAATGATGTATAGCCCATCTTGGAGTACCTTTACTTCCTAAACGGCTCCTTGATAGTAGGTCGCGATCTGTGAATGGAGCTTGGGAGTCTGATAGAACTTGTCCGAATATTACCCGTTAGCCGAGCCCCTGAATAAAAAAGCACTGGTGCCAGTTAACCGAGCCCTTGAGTAACATCACTTCTTGAATACTTCAAGCAATCAAACGAGCTAATCCGAACATCAGCCGGGATGCGAGCCTCCTGAGTTAAACCACTCTGCCTCAAGAGAAAGTCCGCCTCAAGAGAAAGCCTAGAGGTAAATATGTCTCGTACATCATAAAAATTGTGGCATTACAGCAGATCACCGAGTCACTTAGAGGCATTGTTTGAAGGCACAGAGTTTGAAATCAGGTCGCATTTTGATGAAGCTTTGGCGTCTTTAAAGAAGTCCACATTCGCATCCGCAGGTCTCACTCCGAAAGCTTGATGCCATCTTCCTGCCCAGCACTATCTTTCTTCCCAGTATTTGGCTTCAATCAGAGCTGCCAAGACCCTCTTTGTATTTTCCCAGGAAGAACTGCATAGGACTCAGCATATGGAAACCAACTCGAAGTTCGAAGTCTTCGACCTTGCGGCCGGAAACATCTCGCTCCCCCGACAGAATTCTGATTGTCTCTGAATCGAGTGCTCCGTCGTAAATCGCAGCATCTGAGGATGAGTGAAGGTTTTTGTACAGAGTGCTAGCCTCGATGCTGTACGCAAGCTCCATCTTCTGCAAGACAAATCGACCGATATCGGTCGATGACCAGCCGCCATTAGTAAGCATATGACGTTGAACCTGATACGCTAGGCTACCCAGTGTCAAACCCTGCAGGTTCAACTCCATAACCGACTTCCTGATAACATCGGGTGTATCTTGGTGGAAATCTGTGATCTCCTTGTTTAAAATCAAACTGCTGATTGCAGCCGATGAACTGCGAGCGTAATCCCATACCACTGTGACGTTGGAGGCTGCGCCCTTCGCGTCTTGCTCAAGAACAGCTCTCTCCTCACCACCAGATCTTCCCTTCTTCGTATCGCGTCCCTTAGTAGCATAGCGTGGGAACTTGTCCCGAGTGATCTTTGCTTCGTCGAGCTCGTCCTGAGTGGGATCCAGGAAAGGGTTCTCTTTTTGTCTGCGGCCCCCTTTACGAAGAGAATACAGAATGAGGCCGTGGCAGCCATAGACGTTACTGCACTCAGCAATGCGTTCTGCTGCAGGCTTCAGCGCCAGCTTCAGGATTTCGACTCTGGACAAGTCGCGACCGGTAATGGCTCTCTTCGGTTTCTTTGGATTTTTATCTAAATGCTGTATTAGCGATCCACTTGGTGCATGACTTCAGTGCAGAAGAGGAGCTTACCAGCCTTATTGTGTGTTGTGTCACCCTTCGTAGCCTTTTTTCGAACAATGGCCGTGTCGTCTGCTCCATCATTCTTCTTCGCTTTCTTATAGGACTTATCTGAAAGCCACGTTAGCAATCCATATAAGAGATGACTCGGATGTGCAAGATGAGTGCGTACTCTTCTCAATCAATGACATCTTCCGAAATCGCTCTAAATTCCGTGTCAGCGATCTATACAAGATGACTTCGATTCGCAGAAGGTTTACTTACTCTTAGTAGGGCCAACAAGATCGATATCGGATTCGCTATCATCGTCCTCTGAATCCCTTATCAGCGATCTATACAAGAATTGACCTCAATGCGCAAGAGCGTCACTTACCTTGGGTAGGCCCAAGCAGATTGTTCAACTCGGTGTTCTTGCTCTCTGAGTTCCGTATCAGCGATCTATGCAAGAGATGAATCCAAATCGCAGAAGGGGTACTTACTGACACGCCGAGAAACCTCTTTGCTCTCGTCCTCTGAATTCCGTATCAGTGATCTATACAAGAATTGACTTCAATTCGCAGGAGGTTTACTTACTCTTTGTAGGGCCAGCGAGATCGATATCAGAATCGCTGGAATCGCTCTCTGAATTCCGTGTTAGCGATTTATACAAGAATGATTTCAATTCGCAGGGAATTACTTACCTTGGACAGGCTCATTGACATCCTTCATCTCCGTATCTTCGCCCTCTAGATTCAGTATCAGCGAACTGTATGAGGGATGAATCCAAGTCACAGGAGGGGTACTTACGAGTAGCTGGTGTGGTCTGCTTTACTTCCTTATCGTTGTTCTTGCCCTTCTGGATCTCCTCTCCGGAGTTTCTATTCTTGTCAGTTGCCATCTTGAATTGTTGTTGATGGACTGTATTGGTTTTGATGGAGTGTGGTTGATGCTGATGAATTGTGATTGGTTTTGATGGACTGTGATTGTTGTTGATGTAACTGAGGAGGAAGTTCTTGTTGAGTGCGCGGGAGCCTTTTTGTAAGGTGAAAATTAGTTAGCGCCGCGCTAAGCTGAGCCCGTGTTATTGTGGAGCCTGCCTCATCTCTATATCCCCACTGACTCTCAAGTCGAAAAGATCATGGACACCAACTGGTGTTCAGTTAAATGGAGAAGATACGAAAGTTGGGCGCCGCTGAACATTAAGTTCTCGTGAGAATGCTAACCGAGTTTGTTTACTTCTGACTACTTTCTGCTAACCGAGCTTTCTGTTAACCGAGAACTTTTCTGCTAACCGAGCTCTCGCCAAGAGACCTAGGCGCGTCAGATCAGGCACATCTTTCACAGCCATGACCGCAGAGAAACACTTTAAAGACTGTGGGGCTTCTTTGTTAAGCCTGTGACTCGAAGAATATGCATACTGTGCTAGATTTCAAGGCACCTCGAGATCTAGGAGCGAAGGTTACCATTTGCTTCGGAAAGAACCTTGCAGACTTTGATTAAATTGGAGAATTAGCCTGATAGCCATATTATTGATTTCTAAAACTCCCTGAGACCTCGAGAAACATAGTATTGTAGAGAATTCTGCTTTCCCCAGAGGTCGAGCTTTAAAGATGCGGAGCATTACATTTGTGTTACAGTCACTGTAGCAGTCTAATGGTCCTGGATATCTTCTTGCAAGGAGCAGTGTCACTCAGATAGCGAACAATAAATAGACTCTGCATTACCCTATCTTCAGTATCAGAACTCCAATTTCTATTTCACTGCAAAAGTATGGAAGGGACTCTTTAGATCCAGGCGACCCGGAACGGTGTCTACGTGCTCGAATATTCCCAGGGCGCTGCTTGATCCCCCGCTGTACATGTGCGACAGGAGAAGATTAATACCCGAAAGCGCTCAGATTTCCAACAAGACAAATTCTAGTCTCAGCAACAGCAACCTCTTTCCATTACAGCCCTGCACAGTAGTTATGGCGCCGGAAGAGAAGAACGCGAGCGAAAAGGCCGTGGAGAGCAGCGTGGCAGTGGCAAGCAGCCCGGGTATGAGCTTCCCTTCAATTCCCAATCTTCTCTAGAATGCTAAGACAGTTCATCGGGCAAAGTTGCGCAGTCTGCAAGCTCAGAAGAAGAAGAAGGCAACCAAAGCTCTGTCGAAGATTAACAGTAAGTAGTCTACAGTAACGGCCAGTGTCTTGTTTCCACTGGTTTTTCTTGGCAGCTTGCTAATCTTTGAATCCAATTGATCTCAACGACCCCCTTTACGCGGCCATTGCGGATAGGTAAATAAAGATCTCTGCAGACGCTTGGTCCGGTATTTCTCCTCTGCTGGCTTGAAGATGGGTACATACGGAGCGCGAAACGCTCGGCAATCCTTGGTGCAAATGGCATAATCAAGTCCAGATACGGACCCGGTGGCGCCTCAAGAAACCCTTCCATCGACTACACCGACGCCGATTTTGCCGACGCCGGTATCGCTAGAAGTGAGTCGACTCCACGGGTGGAGGAACAGGTGCGAGACGAGGCAAGAATTCTGGCGAAGGAACACATGCCAAGGGCAGCAGTTCTGGCAGTATACGCCGCCAAAATACGACCAGTACGCTGGGAAAAACCCAGGGGGATAGCGATGAGACCATCGAAGAGGAGGATTTTGAGTAGGATATAGCTCTTGCCACCGAGAAACTCGGTGACCGATGCCAAGAGGAGGGCCGACAGCAGCAGCAGCAGCAGCTACAACAACACACGCCCGAGCAAATTCAAGAAGACAAAGTTCCGGGTGCGCAATTCATCAACTGTCAAAAGCGCCATCTTCCTCTGGCTGCACAGTAACAAAAACGATGCCGCCAACGACTACCTCCAGAGCAGACCTCATCTCCGCAACGCTTTGGAGGGAGACGGGTTCCTTCGCACTGTCCTCGAGCCAGACGTCGATGTTAAGCCAGCACACTACATCTCGTAATCGAGCCTCGTCGCCGATATCAATGCTGGGATGAGCTTCGAGAGGATAGAGCTAGATTCTTACCCTGCCACATCACCCTCGCTTGGCCAGACATATTCGCCGTTACTGAAAACCATCCGGACTACCGCGTCCATCTCGAAGTACTTAGGATCTGCGGGTGGCTGGTGTTCTGACAGGAGACACCATTGGCGAGAAACTTCGTCTGAAGCTTGTTTTTGACATGCTGTGACTCTGCATTGGAGTTGTCGAGCAGAACCAACGATTGAGATAGGGCAGGAGTGTTTGCGGGTCTGGACACTGAGTTCTTCATCCTACTGCGTGTGAACTCCATCCTCTGCGCATACAACGTTTACTTCATTGAGTTCTATCGTCGCTTCTTGAAGTTTTCAAAGTGACCATGTTACTTGAAACCAATACAATTCCATTTCTGAGATATTTCTAAAACTATAAGACTCTCTTCTCGGTATGGCTAGATCCACTTCCTTTACAGAATGAACTATCTTGGCCTATTATTTTCGAGCTGTCCGGTACCTTATGCGGGGATACCCATGCTTTGTTACCTACCGGTCGGCGGTCAAGGGAAAGGAAGGGAGAAGAGCAGAGAAGAGAAGGAGAGGACGCTCGCTGTCTATTCGTGAATATCTGGGATTAGATTATGATGCTAGATTACCATTACTACTGTCATTATTAACTCTATGTGATGCAAGCTTGAGCAAAAGACCGTTTATGGAACGAGAGATTCATATAACGCCAGGCTGATCCTGCGACCAGGAGATGAGAAGATCAGACCATCTCTAAAGCAACGCCACATCCCCATACTTCTTGGCAAACATGCCCAGAGCCTTCATGGGAAAGATGAACTTGTAGTTCGGGTACGAGATCATACAGCTCTTGTTGAAGACGCCCTCGATGGCTTCTTGCAGCCACTCCCCGTTGGGCTGCTGCCTGCGCATAATGAGACGAAGGCCCCTCTCGATGGGTGCACGGTCCGGATAGGAGGCTTCTAGGAGGCCGATGATGGCCCAGGCTGTCATGACGACTTGGGAGCCGGTGGGGTGTTCGATGTAGGTTGCTGTCTCGCAGGACTGGAGGGGTGTATTAGCTTCAATCGAACAAGGGGGAGGGAAGTGATGTGGATAAAAGGAAGGAGAAAGGGAACTCACGCGATAGCTTTCCGACCAGCCGCCGTCTTCCCTTTGCTTAGAGACGAGGAAATCGCAGCCGGCGCGAGAAAACGCACTATTCTCATACTTCTCGCCGATACTCGCCAAACTTTCCAGTGCAAACATCGCTGCGTAAGTGAAGCAGATGCCCCAACTACCGTACCAACTTCCATCAGGACTCTGAGCATCTTTGATATATTGAACTGCTCTAGCCTTGAAGGTCCGGATGTCCTCAGTCCTGTAGTCTGGGTAGTATTTGGTGAAAAGTGAGAGAGCTGTCACAACCGCAGTCGTGCATTCTGGGTAGTCGTACTCAATCATGATTCTGCCAAAGACTTCAGCGGCATTGAGCATCTCTAGACGTTCGGATCCTCGCGTAGGCTCGTAGGATGCACAGCCGCCGGAAGCATTCTGATAAGTAAGAAGCGTATCGATGGCATCGTAGATTCGCTGGTCCTCAAGAAGCGTGGGGTATCCTGGCGTCCGTTGAAGCAGCAGTACGGCCTTCAGAGCCTCGGAAATGCAGTCACTGACCGCGTATCCTTGGTCTTTGTTACTGAACGCCCATCCACCCTTTCGTTGCTGTCTATAGCATATGGCTTGATCATCCACATTCTCACGCATTTGCTGGTCATCCAAAAACTCAAGAGCCTTGGTGAGCATCGGCCTCCATTTCGGGTCTTCAGCCAAGCCAGCATCCATTACAGCCTGAATTAGGAACGCAGTATCCCAGCATTGGACACCATTGGTCCCGTTCACCATCATACCTTCCTTGTTGACCCAGAGGTAATCGGCCAGGCGGTCCCTGTGTCTTTCTACGGAGTAGGCCTTTGGTCCCTCCTTGATGTAACAGACGAGAAAGTTCATGGGCGCATTGACAGGCGCAAGGTCAGAATAATCAGTGTTCTTGTCTTCCATCTGGACAAGTTTCCAGACCCAGTCTTCCGCTCTCTTAACCAACCAGTTGACCCTGGTGAGCGGGTTGTGTACATTGACAAGAATCCAATTTGCCGTTCTCAGTAGAAGTGATTTAGGATGATAGTTATCCTTCTCGGCTATGGTGTCCCGATTCGCTGCCCAGTTGATAGATTCGTATGGCTCCGCGAAGAGTTCCTGCCTGAGCTCCCGTATAAGAGCTGTCTCGGGGAAAGTCCAGCGTCTGGACCATATAAATGACATGGGAAGGTAAACCATTCGCATATGGATCCACCATCGCCACGGCGCAAAGGGAACCCAATCAGGAAGTAGCCAGAACTCAGGTGGCGCCGGATTGACTATCTCCCACTTGCAAACTCCCAGGATACTGAGCCAGAACTTCGCCCAGTGAGGACCGCATCTTGCTCCCCCCAGCTTGTGTAAGGTGCCCCTGGCCCGAATCATTCGTGGCTCTTCCTCACTTACACCCAGAATACGCAAAGCTGTGTAGTTCATTGCCGTCCCAAAGACGGAGCTCTCGCCCTCGATATGCAGACCCCAACCTCCATCATCGGGATGTGCCCTAGCGAACAAGTAGTTCTTCATCTCTGTAGCGATGTGGGTCGGGATTTCAGTCTCGGTGACATACCAGGCTATGACAAAACCTGGTAGCAAGAACATTGGCCCGCCATATTCACAGCCCCAATTCCCCGGTGGAAGCTGGAGGTGTTGGAAGAATTCAAGGCCGTTCTTGACCGAATCGAGGGCCGTCTTTGCAGCAGGAAGGTCTGGCAGGTCCTGATTGAATCATATTAGATCAAATCAGCATAGAACCTACACATCCCAGGGGCAAGCAAGAAGCACTAACCATGGGCAGACCCAGGTACCACCTATCTGCATCGGATTGAGGCCAATTCTCTGCCTCGCCGTCGTCTTGGAGATAATGCCATGTCTGTCTGCCCCCTTCGTCCAACATGCGCCATCTTGATTTGTCGGTGGATTCTGAGATCTTCGGACGCTTTGCAGAGGGGGGTTTCTTCTCCACCGTATCAATTGACCTCTTCTCGCCGACAGCTGTTGCTGCTGTTGTTGTCGCTGCCGCGTGTCCGTTGACAGGCTTTAATGGTGTCTTTAAGGTCACCATGTCTGCAGACTCTGAGTAGAGCCCAGGTAATGCTTCGTCCAGATTCTGTACTCATGCACCGTTTTGCCCCTTTCCCTTCTCGCAGACAGTCAATCAAAATTGGGTGCAGACGATAATACATGGGAGGTACTCCTAATCCGAATGTGAGCTTCGGCATGGATCAGATAAGATAACGCCTACTTTTTTTTTTGGTTTTGGACCCTGGCCCTGCATATAAAAACATCTCACTTCCACCGTCCATTTTAACGACACCACTCGAGTACCCTGCCATAAGGTACCATGCCTATCCGCGTTCCTGAGCCACTGCCACTGCCCATAACCTAAGTCTCATATTCATATTTATGATTGAGATAGCATGGATATCGACCTCGTCGCAGGCTATGTGCAGGGTTCGCCAAACAGAGGATCATTGCTCTCCAACTCACCACACAGACATCGACTTACCACTGCAGCAGATGGTGACAACGACCGCCAGGTTCCCTCACAAGTCCATGTCCACGTTACCAGAGCATCCAAGTCCAACCAACTGGGCCTCGTGATCTCCAAGATTGAAGACATTTTCGAGTCCATCACAGATTGCCTCTTGGATGAAAAGAAGGAGCTTGTGATACAGCTGAAAAGCCGATCCAAGTCCAAGTCCAAGTCCAAGTCCAAGTCCCACAAGCCCCAATGCGAGCAAGACGACGACGACGGTGACGGTGACGGAGAGAGGGAAAAGTCCAGAATGATTACTTTCCCCAGCAAGAACGCGAAGGAGGCCTGGAAGTTCAGTAATACAAGCTCCTTGTTGCATTGCACCGCACTGCATCAGCACTGCTAATGGATGCTCATACAGCTGCGTTATTGAGGATTCTGGAACTTTCCCATGAAGCTCTTGTGACGGGAATAGTCACGACGAAAAGGTTGAATGCCTACATGAGCCTCGACTGCAGCATCGATGCCTACTACTACCCTTTGCCCTTCCAGATCCCCAAAATGTGCTGTATTGCTTCATGGTTACTAACATTCAACCAGAGATATCTACTATCGAGAGCCAGAGCTGTTTATGAAGCAAGCGGTGGTCGATCGCTACGTTGACGACATCGCCTACACATTCGGCGTCAACAGAGATGCCTTGAACGTGGTCTGTCCACCTCACCTCTCCTCTCTTGCCCTTCTCTAAACCGATCTTGGATCAGGTAGCAGCAGCCAAAGGTCTTGTTGCCGGCTCACTCCTCCTAACGAGAAAAGATGAGTCAGTCATTGACCTCGCCACCGAGCCAGAGGCAGGTTCGCCTTTCCGAAAATCAAAATCTCACATATGCTAATACCAGCCAGGGCCTCCTCATCCCCAATCCAAGCGAGATCTCCACAATTCAATTCCTGGACGTGAGATGGATCCTCGTCATCGAAAAGGAGGCAACCTTCCGCACCCTCGCCTCCGCCCAATACTGGCAATCCTCCCTCGCCGGGAGAGGGATCCTCCTCACAGCCAAAGGCTATCCGGACATCCAAACCCGCCAGTTCCTGCACCTGCTCTCCACGTGCCACCCGTCCATCGCCATCCTAGCACTTGTCGATTTCGACCCGGACGGGATCGGGATCATGGCGACGTACAAGCACGGCTCTCAGTCGCTGGCTCACGAGCAGGATCTCGCTGTTCCAAGCGTGAGGTGGCTTGGCGTAAGGAGCGGTGATATTGGCGCGGTGGGGGTCGGGGAAGGGGAGCCGGGACTGCTGAGGTTGTCGGCGAGGGATCGCAGGGTTGCGGTGAGGATGTTAGAGAGGGGCGGGCAGGTGGATGCGGAGTGGATGCGGGAGCTGCGAGTCATGCTCGTGCTCAATGTGAAGGCTGAGATTCAAATTCTCGGGGGTGGGGGGAGGCTCGCGGAGTGGCTTGATGAGAAGTTGCTGGATGCTGTCTGATTGGGCTGTTGGAGATGTTGCTCTACAGTGTCTGCAAAGCTGTGTAATTGGTGGGTTTCTGAGCTATGATTGAAAGACTTATGATACATGGTGCGATGGGCTATGAGCTACAGGTCATCTTATATCTCAATGTATCGACGACACTGATGCTCAGTTGAGCATCTCAAATGTAAACCTACTGAGGAGCTCCTACAAGGTACTGATACTAATAAACATACTCCAGCATAATACAGCTTGGTACTTAATCCCGTGAATAGTCGTCACGTCTGATTGACAGAATTTCCCAATATCCAATATAGAGATCTAGTAGAAGCCCCAGAATGACAGAGAAAGGAGGGTCTAGTTCCCAAGCCTCGGCCCGTCGCGCGAGCGCGTCTCTTTCCGACCCCCAACATATCAATCAACATCAATAACCAACTAACTCCCTAACTTAAACCAACCTCACCCAACGCCGACACCAACTTTCCCGAACCCATCAAACCACACCACTACCACTACCACATCCCGCATCCGCCCAAAGAATACCTTCTCCCTCCCCTGTCCTCCGAAGGGAAAATATATATATATATATATATAAATGCCGCCTCCAAACCCCCACCTCACCCGCCTCCTCGCCCGCCTCCCCCCCCGCCTCCACCGCTACACATCCACCCTCCGCACCGCCCCCCTCTCACACCTCACAGCCTTCCTCATCCTCCACGAGCTCACGGCCATCGCGCCGCTCGTCGGCCTCGCCGCCACATTCCACTACACGAACACGCTGCCGCAGGGGGGCCAGTGGCTAGGGGAGAACGTGCGGGCGGGCGCGGAGCGATTCGGGCGGTGGTTTGGTCGGAAGGGGTGGTTTGGTTTTGAGGCTGGGGCTGGGGCTCGGGCTCCACCTGATGGATCTGGTGAGGGCGTTGTGAGGGGTGAAGGTGAAGGAGGAGGAGGAGGAGGTTTTGGTGGGGGAGATGGGATGCTGGAGAAGGAGAAGGAAGAAGGGAAGGGGATGGGGAAGGTATACAGAAGTAGTAGCGAGCAGGGCACGAAGATCCTTGTCGAGGTTGCGACGGCGTACGCTATCACCAAGGTGTTGTTGCCCGTCCGGGTGGCGGTCAGCGTGTGGGCGACGCCGTGGTTCGCGCGGGTGTTTGTGGGGAGGCTGGGGAGGGTGTTTGCGTTGGGGAGGAGGGTCTTTGGGAATGGTGGCGGGAAGGTTGCTGTCGGAGGGAGGAATACGAGTCCTGCTGCTGGGACGGGGGCGGTTGGTGGTGGGGTTGGGCCTGGGAGTCGGAGGAGGAGGGTGGGTTGAAGAGGGTCGGGGTGATGGAAATCGTGGAATTCGGATACATCAAGAGCAGATAGAGATGCTAAAGGCTACCACCCTCCTAGTACCAGACATATGGATGGACTTAACTGGACGGAGAGCTGGCATTGGGGGGGGGGGGGGGGGGGGTTAAAAGCTCGGCGAGGGCTGGGGACGGCTTATTCTTATCGAGAGGCCTGGACGTGGATGAACACGGAAAGAAATCCGTAGGTGGCCAGAAGAAGGGACGTGGCAGCATATTCTCTGTCTGGTTGTCGTGTGGTGGAACAGAACTTCAAGTAATCGACGAGCAGGCAAACGAGGACTATTCACATACTTTGTGAGTGGATATGACAGGAAGGATAAACGGAGTCAGGGCTCCAGTACTAGAGAATTCATGTAGATATGTAAGACTCCACGAGAATCACAAAACATTTTCTCGGGATTCCTCCTATTTTCGATAGGGTGCAGTCCCCTCGCTGTTTTCGTAAATCATGTCCATTGGTTCATTGCAGGAACTTTTTGGTCTATGTATCTGTCTGTCTGTATCCACCATCAACCGTCATCTGTTTCCGATATCCGGGGACCATCGTCTGCAGCAGAGGAAGAAGGCAGAAGCAAGTATGCATTTGATGTACCTCTCAGCACATCCATCTACCCATCAAGACAAATAATCTACTTCTCGTAAACCCAGTCGTGTTGGGTCGACTTCCACGATTGGACCTCACCCTCCTTAAACCAGAGAGCGATCTCCTTCTTGGCGTTCTCGACCGAGTCGGAACCGTGGCAGACGTTGCGGCCGACGTCGATGGCGTAGTCGCCGCGGATGGTACCGGGGGCGGAAGCGAGGGGGTTGGTGGCTCCAAGGAGGACTGTGAGGGATGTTAGTAGGAGATTTTTGAGGGGAGAGGAAGAGGCGCGGGGTCGGGTGGGCAAGAGAACGTACCACGGCCGGTCTTGACGGCGTCACGGCCTTCCCAGACCATGGCGCAAATTGGGCCAGATCCCATGTCTGTTTGTTGTTAGTATGTATGTACAGATGGATAGATATTGTAAGAGGAGGAGGGTGGAGAGAGCGTACACTTGATGAGTCCTGGGAAGAAAGGCTTGGAAGAAAGATCCTCGTCTGTTTACACATTAGAAATTGCATAATGTGAGCATGCCAGCGAGACTAACAGTGCTTCTCCAGGTGCTCTTGGCTAGCAGTCATCAACTTGATAGCGGCAAGCTTGTATCTGCGCTGTATTAGATTCACGGCTTTATTTTCAGTCCGGATGTAGGGCGACATACCCGCGGGCCTCGAATCGGGAGATGATGGGGCCAATGAGTCCACGCTGTATAGCCGCATATCAGCTTCACTACCATTTAGCTATTCCGTAGGAGAGTAGCACACCTGGACGCCATCTGGCTTAATAGCAATGAAGCTATTCCCGTCAGCTACACCGCCAACAGAGGGGTCGCATCTAAGTATCTGCTGTGTAGCACTTACGTCTGTTCGGTAGACATGGTGTTGTCGTTGAGTCGTACGTGTTCTTCTCGTGAGTTCGCAGAAGCGCGGAGGATTCCTTGAGTCTAGGGGCTCAGGTGTCCAAATATCTCAAGATCTTTGGTAGTAGTGGTGGTGATAGTGGTGTTTTGTTCATCGGAAAGGTTTTTGGGGAGGAGGGGTGGGAGGGGCTAGTGGGGCTGCTAGCCGGCCTCTTCTATCCAGTAGGTTAATCCGAAAGTGAGACTCTGCATAACTCCAGTTTCTGAAGTTTCTGGAAATGCACTTTACAAGTCCAAACAAAATGTGCGCAAAATGAAAATAATACAAAGGAAATGGATTACATGATTAGGAGATGGGAACAAGTCAAACTTGACATATCCAAGATGAGCCTCTGCGACCCAACTTGGCGCTTTCAAGACCGAATATTGGCCGTGAAGTGAACGGGCTCGCCAAGACCATATAGCTGTTTCGACCAGGATTGAGGTCACTGCTTGGGGGGATTGACTTGAGGCCAGCTTCAGCCTTGGAGGGAACCAGACCGGCTATCAACAGCTTCATCGTTCAACCTTCATTGCACTGCAGGTCGATACTAATTACATTTGCTGCCTATCTCGTTGTCTCTCCTACATGCTGCTCTGCCGGCATTGAACAAAGACTCTTTCCCTGCTCCGACTATGGCTCGTTTAACAGGCCAGACCCAGGCCCAGAGATGGACAGCTTTACTTGTGCTCGTGTCCGCATTCTCCCTATTCACACCTGCTGGTAATTCATGACTTCTGTACATTTGATCATAACAATTTCTCATCCTACATAGTGTCCGTGAAGCACGAGAACTTCAAGACATGCGATCAGTCCGGCTTCTGCAAACGCAACCGGCAGTACGCCGACAAGGCATCGAGCCTGGGCAAGCAATGGGAGGCCCCCTACAGGATAACACCCGAGTCCCTAAGTTGGAAAGAGGGACAGCTCAAAGGCACCATCCTGAAGACCATTGACGCCAATGGCGAGACGGTCCGGCTACCGCTTACCATTTCGTTTCTGGAGTCCGGCTCGGCGAGAGTGGAGATCGATGAAGAGAAGCGTCAGAAGGGGGACATTCAGCTACGGCATGACAGTAAAGCGAGGAAAGAGAGATATAACGAGGCTGAGTCGTGGGCCATTGTCGGTGGACTAGATTTGAGCAAGACTGTGGCCGAGGATAGAGGCGCCGAGAGGACCATTGTGAAGTACGGTCCTGAAGGCAAGTTCGAGGCTGTGATCACTTTTGCGCCTTTTGGAATCGACTTTAAGAGAGACGATGAGACACAGATCAAGTTTAACGACCGAGGGTTGCTAAATGTGGACCATTGGAGACCGAAGATCGATAAGCCAGAGCCCGAGATAAAGGAAGGAGAGGAGGCTCCAGCCGTCCCAGAGGGCGAAGATGAGAGCACTTGGTGGGATGAGTCTTTCGGTGGAAACACAGATTCGAAGCCCAGGGGCCCTGAAAGCGTTGCTCTTGACATCACATTCCCTGGCTATGAGCATGTTATGGGCATCCCAGAGCACGCTGGACGATTGTCGCTGAAGGAGACTCGGGGTGCAAATGGCCCTAGCCACACAGACCCCTACCGATTGTACAATGCCGATGTTTTTGAGTACATCATGGACAGCCCAATGACCCTCTACGGAGCCATTCCCTTTATGCATGCCCACAAGAAGGATTCGACTGTTGGGGTGTTCTGGTTGAACGCCGCCGAGACCTGGGTGGATGTTATCAAGGAGACCGAAGCTCACAACCCATTGAGTCTTGGAATTGGATCCAAGAAGGATACCAAGACGCACTGGTTCTCTGAGAGTGGTCTCATTGATGTATTCGTCTTCCTCGGCCCTACGGCTAAGGAGGTCACCAAGGCGTACGGCGAGCTCACTGGTTACACTCAACTCCCGCAAGAGTTCTCCATCGCCTACCACCAATGCCGCTGGAACTACAACACTGACGAGGACGTGAAGGAGGTTGACCGCAAGATGACCATGTACCGGATTCCTTATGATATCATCTGGCTCGACATTGAGTATACCGATGATAAGCAATACTTTACTTGGGACCCGCTCAGGTTCCCCAACCCGCTGGGCATGCTCAAGCAACTGGACGAGTCCAAGAGAAAGCTTGTGGCTATCATCGACCCACACATTAAGAACAAGGAAGGGTACCACGTCGTAGAGGAGCTCAAGAAGAAGGATTTGGCAGTTCACAATAAGGATGGCAACATCTACGATGGCTGGTGTTGGCCTGGGTCTTCCCACTGGGTCGACTGCTTCAACCCTGCCGCGATCAAATGGTGGATCGATCTTTTTAAGTATGATGCGTTCAAGGGTTCCGCAGCCAACCTGTTCATATGGAATGATATGAACGAGCCTTCCGTCTTCAACGGTCCCGAGACAACCATGCCAAAGGACAACCTCCACCACGGTAACTGGGAGCATCGGGATGTCCACAATATTAACGGGATGACCTTCCACAACGCCACTTACCAAGCAATGCTTGAGCGTAAGAAGGGTGAAATCCGGCGCCCATTTGTCCTCACCAGGTCCTTCTACGCCGGCTCTCAACGTCTGGGCGCCATGTGGACTGGGGATAACCAAGCCGACTGGTCTCACCTCGCAGCCGCCTTCCCAATGATCATCAACAACGGTATCGCCGGGTATCCCTTCGCCGGCGCCGATGTTGGAGGTTTCTTCGGTAACCCCGACAAGGACCTCTTAACCCGCTGGTACCAATCCGGCGCCTTCTATCCCTTCTTCCGCGGTCACGCTCACATTGACACCCGTCGCCGTGAGCCCTACCTCGCCGGCGAGCCATACACAAGGATCATCACGCAGGCCCTCCGCCTCCGCTACACCCTTCTCCCAGCCTGGTACACGGCCTTCCATGAAGCCAGCGTGAACGGCACTCCCATCCTTCGACCTCATTACTTTGAGTACCCAGCCGATGAACAAGGGTTCGCCATCGACGACCAATTCTTCGTCGGCGAGACGGGTCTCCTTGCTAAGCCTATTGTAACCAAGGATACCGAGACGACCGATATCTACCTCGCCGACGACGAGATCTACTACGACTATTTCACCTACCAGATCTACTCTGGCCGCGGCGCCAACACCATCGCCGCACCGCTGGAAAAGATTCCTTTGCTGATGCAAGGTGGACATATCATCCCGCGCAAAGACCGCCCACGTCGCTCAAGTGGCCTTATGAAATGGGATCCCTACACCCTCGTTATCGTCCTCTCCAAAGCCGGCGAAGCGACCGGCACGCTGTACGTCGATGATGGTGAGACCTTTGACTACCAGAAAGGTGCTTACATCCATCGCCGATTCTCCTTCTCGAACGGTGTTCTTCAGAGCACAGATATCGGCACTAAGGGGAAGCTGACGGATAAGTACGTCAAGAGCATGAAGCCCGTGGGTGTGGACCGCATCATCATCGTCGGCGCCCCGAAGGAGTGGGCGGAAAAGGTTACAGTGAAGGGAGACAAAGGCGTGTTGGAGCTGCAGTATAACCCCGCGCAAGGCAAGAGCGCCGCGTGGGCGGTGGTGAAGAGACCGGGTGTTTCAATTGGGGAAGACTGGAAGATTGAGTTCTGAGACTTTTGACTGTGCATGTCTAAGGCCTCGACTTGGGGAGGAGATGAACACCCTCCCAGGTTTGGGGATGCGTGGATGTAACTCGGTGTATGTAGCGTGTGATAAATACAAACTGCTCTATTCTGTCCGTCCTCTACCCGTTGTATTCGTTGTATCTCACCCTCACCTATTCCTATTCCCATCGCTTGATTGGATTTTGTCCCAACTCGGCTCTCATCAGCTCATCAAGCTCAGCCCTCACCATCGGTTCGAACCCTCGAACTTGACCTTTTTCCAGCCACGCATACCGTACAATTTCCGAGTTTGCGCCCTCCCTCGACCTTTCTTTCGAGCTTGTGGCGTCGGACCGAAGATGCAGCTCAATAAAAAGCTCTAGCATCGACTTTCCACCTGTATTACCCCCCCCCCCCCCCCCTACTTTATATTCCTATCTGCTGCTAAATGGTGCTTGTCATTTCTTTTCCTTTTATTGTATATGTGTGTGTGTGTGTACTATCGGTTAAAGTGCCAGAATTTACAAAAGCTACATTTCATCTCGCTACCTGAGTACGCTAGGCTATGCTATAATGCTACGCTATAATGGTACGCTATAATGCTATAATGCTGCTATGCTATACTATTCCATGCTACGCCATATATAAGAAACCCGGAACGCCAGATAACAAATCGCACTCCAAAAGAATCCTCTGGTTCCGTCCGTTCCGTTGCGTCGTGTCATAGGTATGTCCTCACGCTCGGCTCTCCGTTTGTCTCCCCACGGCAATGTTGACAACACCATGAGCGATCGACGCGGGCGAGACCGACGCACTCCAAGTGAAACCACTTGGTAGGACAATCAATTTTCGCACACCGGTTTCTCTTCCCGCCCCGGATCGTGCTCCGGCAGATGCAGTACGGTGTATAGTCCCCCGGCTCCGGGACGTCGCAGTGGCCGTGGTGGGCAAACCTGGACGCGAGACAGCTCTCCGAGCACTTCTTGTCCCGGCATCGCTTTTCCCAGCATTTGGGGTCCTCGCATTCCTTCGCCCAGCAGTCCTTGAGGCGGAACTGCATCATCGGCCCATTCTTCTTGCTGGTGAAGCAATCCTGGAGCTGGTACTCCAGCTTCGTCTCCTGTCCCAAGCCGAGAGCCTCATTACGCTCGCCAGCCGGGGGTCCTTCCGCCAGTCTCATGTCGTACATGAATACCGTCCGGGCTAGAGCAACCTCCAACTCCATATACGCGAGCTTTTTGCCGATACATCCTCGGGGGCCACGGCTGAATGTGCACAGCGCAGATCTCGCATGACTGACGCTGATTGTTGTCGACTCTGACGACCCTGCTGAATCTGACAACTGTGCTCCGGGGATCCAGCGCTCGGGCCTGAACTCGAACGGCGAAGGGAAATACCGTTCGCTGTGATGGATGGCGTAATGCGGTACTCCCACATCAGTGCCATTTGGGATGTATATACCATCGATCTCAATGCCGCCGTTACAGACTTCACGGGGAAGGATTCCACCGACGGGCGGCGAAAGACGCATTGCCTCATCGAGAACGGCACGGAGGTAGGATATGGGGCTCAGATCATCACGCATGGTGATCTCCTCCACGTTTCTGAACGAACTCCGCACTTCTTTCGTAAGCTTTTCGAGAGCGATAGGATTGTGGACAAGGTAGAAGAAGGCAGATGCGAGGGCAGTCGACGTGGTATCCGACCCTGCGATGATGAGCAGGTTGCTTTCGCCCCAGAGCTCAGTATCGGTGAATCCTTGGCCGCTGTTTCTGTGGCGGGCTTCAAGGAGGTAGTGGAAGAAGTCTCTGCGGTCTGCCACCCTTGCAAGTTTGGTGCGCTCTACGGACTGGGCTTTGCTGTACGCCATATACGCCATTCTCATCTTGTGGATCTTGCGGAAGAGAATCTTGTCGAGACCAAGCTTCTTGATAATCGGGCTAGTCCCCAGCTGCAAGAGTCAGCGCTATATAGGGGCAAGACGGGTTTGACGGAAAAGAGACTGACAATCAAATGCATACGGGCTGCACTTCCCATGAGATCAATCACCTGTCGATTCTCCTCATGCTCAAGCATACCAAACGCCTTTGCGAAGCACAAGTCACCCATGATATCGAAGGTAAGGTAATTGCACCAATCCGCAATATTGTGCACAACGCTCCATCCTGATTCCTCGCCGGGCTCCTCAGTCGCTGGAGGCTTGGCCCCTAGTTTTGAGCAGAAGTTCCGCACGTTGGCCAAGACGTACTTTTCCATATCCCTCAAGGCTTTGTCTGAGAAGGCCTGGCTAAGGACATGGCGTTTCTCAGAATGTGTTTTCTTGTCAATCGAGCTATGGGTATTGAACGTGTCCTTCGTAGGCGGAAACACGGAATAGAATTGCGACTTCTGAATGTTGTGATTCCTGTCGTAGATTGTTTTCAATGCCGAGTTGGTATTGAAGGAGACGCCGTTGGGACCAAATCGGAAAACGGGGCCTGCGAGGCACTGCCAGTTAATGCGGCGCACATAATCAGGTAGAGGAATGGCTGACCGTATTTCTCATGGCATCTCCAGAACTCCAGATGCCTGTCGCCCTTCCATGCATGGTAGAGCGAGTGCAAGTTTGTGATCTTCGCCAGGAACGGGCCTGGGATCTTGGCCAGAGGGTGGAATTTTAAGTTGTAGACGGTCAATCCTAACTACGTCCCATCAGCTATACGATCGACACTTCAGCGAAGACGCTCGGTACGTACAGAAAAGACCGAGAGGCCAACCATGAGTACAATGCCAAAAGTGAATGGGTTCTCCGTCAGCCATCTGGTCACCATCTCGATCAGCATTCCCAGTGTTTCCAGCATGTCGAGCTATTTGTTGTCAAGTCGCGAATAGACTGGTTGATGATGCTAGTCTGGTAATGAATCACTAGAAAGCAGAGAAGCAGGATAACAAGAATTTGTGGTGGTTTATGGCTTCCTAGTGATGGCTGAAAGTCGGTAAAGGTAACGATGCCGATGTTGATATTGACAGAACGGAACGAAAAGAAGAGGAAGACTAAAATTCTTAACGAAGATATCACAAATCCATCCAGCCAACAGTGGAGGAAGGTACAAATGGCAACTTAGCACCCGGGTAGACTCGCTCTTACCCCATGAGTCGACGGTCTTTGTCTTATGCCCGCCGATGAATCCTGAAAGCCGCATCGTAGTCAGTGAGCAGTCGGCTGTCCAGGAACGGGTCTGAATAGAGCAGATAGATGATAATGAATGCATTGCAATTAGGACTTGGCGGAGGAGGAGGAGAAACAGCAGATTATTGTCTACATCGCTGCAGATGTGTTTTCCTGCATTGATTTTGGTGAGGGTTGCGTTCCAGCAACCGCGCTCTCGAGTCGAGATCCGAGAGCCAGGGAGGACGGCGTAGGTCACCAACGAGAACAAAGCTCTTATAACCAAGCACTCGACTTCCGTAGATAGCAAAAGCAGATCAACTCTGTGCTATACGCCATTACAGCTGCAGAGGATGCAGCACGAAAGACGAGTCACGTGGTTGGAAGGTACGAAGCGGCTGGCACTTCAAGCACAATGCCCTAACTTGGACCTAGGCTACTCTTGGAGTTTGCGTGTATGGAGGAGTGAGCCTCACCATCAAGAATTCGCGGACAGCTGGGCTGCAATGGTAGCTTTGATAGCATCCTCCAAAGTCTCCATGTCCTCGGCATCAATCAGACCATTATCCCGCTGCTCATACAAGGTTCCCCCGGATCCCCAGATCCTCTTTTCCGTGTGTCCTCAAGGAGAATGTCTGTGTACAGAGTAGAGTGAAGACAGTAGCAGCTGTGTTCTTGTTGTCGTACGCTTCTTTCTCAAGCTCCCGCACTTTCTCGAGGCTACTATAAGAAATGTCCCATTTCACCCCAGTCTGCTTCTCAAACTCAGCGACGATTTTCAAGGGAGTGGTAGTGAAGGAGTTGGCTCGAAGAGCACGGTTGCGAGAAGCATCGGGGTGCATCAAGGCTTTGACGACCAATCTCCCAACACTACTTGCCGTTAGCACTTCGCCAGCCAGCCAGGAGGACAACGACTAGCTCGTTTGGTGTGGTCAAGCTAACCTTACCCTTCCCATCCTCGATGACCACGGCCTTCTTCTCCTTGACATTGAAGCATCCGATACCTGGTGGGTGTGGATTCTTTCCAAGATAGCCACCAACGTCTGCGAAAGGCCCAGTCACGACATACGTGTACTCAAGGTCTTTCACTTCCTTCAGCGCCGCCCGGGCCTTCAGTTTCTGCTGATGCGGCGGCTCGCTCACAGACTCGGGATCATATTCTATGTCGGTTCCGTATTCAGAAGGGAAGAAACGCTTGACTGTTGGAGCTGGCTCGGCCAACTCGATCCAGTTGTTTTGCTCTGCAATTACATTTCGCCCGACGGCGCTGATGATTACATGGACACCTACAGAGACCGTGTCAGCATCAGTAATCGTAAGTGAAAGATTATAGAAATTCACACCTTGGAATGCCTTCACCGAGTCCTCTGCCTATAATAACCCTCACTCCTTTCGCCCGCAGGTTGTTCAGCAGCCACGCCTTCTCATCTGTTGTACTCGGCGAGGTGAAGATGGCGATACCTCCAAACGAATCCTTTGCTTTGACAATCTGGTCGAGGATATACGAGCCAATATATCCAGTGCCGCCCAAGTCCAACAAGTTATCCTGTGCAATTCTTGGCGCTTTTATTCAAGGCTGTTACTGTACGTAGGATCGTGTGTATGTGGGATAGTCGCAATGCTTGTGTGGGATCCCGAGAGCTCGACGCTTTACATGTGTCGCCAGTCTGGATCCCATCATTGCAATCGGCACGGCATAGCATGGCATAATGGGCTTTCAAGCACGTCAGATGCGACAGTCGCTCTTCACAGGGCAGGGGCTAAGCCGTTCTAGACAGACAAGAGCCTAGATCCCGCAGACGTAGGGCGACTCCATCGTACCTGGCTTCTGGCATTAGTGCGTCCAAAAAAGGAGAGGCTGGAGCCAGTAGTGAAGACGTAGTATCAGCGAGCAAGGCCCGATCTAGTGACTTAGATACTGAGGCTAAAACTTCGGCACGGAACTGGGGGCAAGAAGTCCGAAAAAATTCACTCGTTCAAATATCCACCCACCACTCCTGCTTTCGTCCATCGGGGCACACGACTTTAGTAAGATCCCTTCGCTTACTTGGGTATGAGTGCACTTGCTAACTGGTGTCCTAACAGCGAACATTCGATTAACAACGAAACCGGATTAATACATACGCCAAGGTCGTTCGAACAGGATTAATACGCGTTATCGAGCTTTAAATAAACCCTACCCCGAGGGGGTTTTTCTAAGACGTACCCCACGGGTTGCGTCGGAGTTTTTGCTTCTTTTTCTTCTTCTTCTTTTTTTTTTTGGTTTCTATAGAAGGGGGCGGATTTTAGCGTAGGTAGCTCAGCTTAGTTTTACTTCTATTTTGTTTTGCCGATCCGGCAAGCGAGAGGAAGTGGGGGTCAACTCAGGGGTAGCGGGGTAATCAAATCAATCCCCCTTCTCGCTCCAAACAAATATCAACACGATAAGCGAGCATCGTTAGATCTTTCGAGAACATGAATCAAGATGCCGTCTTGTACGGACCTCAATATACCAATTCCGGGGATTTCTATGTATGGGATGCAGATTCTCCGACGTTGCACTCTCTCTGTCTCGTAGAAGGTAAACCGAAATAGGGGCTGGGCCCAGCAAACCAGCTGCTGAAGGAAAGAGGGATCAGGTTCAGGCGCTTCCGGAATGCTCTGCGGACTGATGCCAGCATGACTGGAGTACATCGAAGTAGCCCGGAAGTATGATGATTCAATGATCAGATTCGAAAGTACACAAAAGAATGGACTCTCGCTTGTGACCAGCGCTTTTTTTTTGTTTCGTCAGCAGAAGTCCAGAACCCCGTGGAAAGCTGGTTCTAGAGTAGAAAAACGACCCAAAACCATTATCAACGAAAAGACATGCTGAAATGCTATTTACCTGGCCCGCCTCGTACCACGATACTGGATATCGGAAGGGGAAGATTATCTTCGTAGAGACGGTATTAGCCGATAGCGTTCTACAAATCTCGATAGCAAGAGATGACTCTGCCGGACCCAATAAAGAAAAGCGAGATCTAATGTAAAACAGAGTTTCTCGTCCCTCCTGTCACAGACAACACGTCACAACAAAGGGGAGCTCAGTGCAGAGAACGGCTCTCTATATGGGCAGGGACGCTTTTGGGCTCGGCTTGCCAAGCGTCTGCTCTTTTCTTACCTACACTTCAGGATATACATGCACGGTGTGCATTCAATCCGGGAGACGGCTAGAGCATAGAGAGACGGCTGGTGCGAAATCACCGGGTGCTATACCTTAACTTTAGAAGTTAAGACGGCGTCGCGTAGACGAGCCAATTGCCTTCTCTCTACCCACCTTGTCCAGCTCAGCTCAGCTCCGCTCACGAGAAGCTAGATCTCGATCGGTTCTCGCGATATCAACAAGACCAGCTAGCCGTGCCCAGCCAGGTCTCAGAAGCTATCGAGTAAAGTCGACGTAAATGGCAAGCAGCTTGCGTAATCCCAAAGCGAGCTTGGAAGTACACCTACCAACATATACCTACTTATACATGCCATTAAAGTGTAGTCTATAGGATTTCAACAGGCTAGTTTCTGTTAGAGTTCGGAAGAACAATATATCTCCAGTCTTCGATTAGCAGTACCTTTCGCTGCTGCTATTAAAACGTGACCTCCTACTACTTATAAGTATTAATAAAGTAATTCTTAATCGAGCGCTGGAATAAGGAGATGTTGAAATAGGCGACGAGCTATATCAGCTCGTCTTTTAATTTTGGTCTTTGAAACTTTCGTGACTTGAGAACGGGAGTGATTGAATGGCTTTTTTGATTAAAAGGCCTCTTGGCGTTTTTATGCGAGAAACAGCTGTATAACTTAAGCCAACTATGTGATTCTTAGCGGTCAAATTCGTAATTATCTTGTTTGCAAGGATCACCTAAGATTTACAAATAGGGCC